CACACGACACACACAGAAACAAAAACAAACACACAAAAACAGGACACACACACACACAATCACTTTAGTACACCTCAAATGAAGCTCAAACTAAACATTGGGTGTACTGTTATATACCGTGTGTGTGTGTGTGTGTGTGTGTGTGTGTGTGTGTGTGTGTGTGTGTGTGTGTTATGAGCACTAGTGTTGTGTTACGCTAATAGATTTATTGTGCTCGGGCTCGGACTCAGCTCCGGCTCTGGGTTCTGAGGGCCGTCTTATCTCCGCCGGACAGCACGAGTCCTGTGGGTCTCAATCAGGTCCTGTATGAACGGGTCCTCATAAGCTCTTACAGCAGAACAAGCACAACACACACACACGCAGGAGCACACACAGATCCTTCAGGGACGGCAGTCAAACAGGAATTGTGTTTAAAACAAGATTATTATAATTACTGTGACCAAACCATGACCCAACACACACACACACACACACACACACACACACACACACACACATGAATATACACAGCCTCGTGCACACACACTCACTCATATATACACACAAAAATGCACACATGCACAATCACAATTACAATCACAAACATACATACACACACACACAAACATGTATACACACACACACACACACTCATGCATATACACAGACTCATGCAAACACTCACTCATGTATACACACACAAATGTACGCACACACAAACACATGCACACACACAATGACACTCACACTCATGTATATAGAAACTCACGTACACACAAATGCACACATACACAAATGCACATACACAGTCGCACACAAACACACACACACACACTTGCTCATATGTACACACACATACAAATGTACGCACGCAGAATTGCACACAGTCGCACACACACTCATTAACGTACACAAACAGTCACTTACTCACTCATGCATTCACACACAAATGCACACATGCACGCACGCACACACATACACACGTACACAATCACATCACACCCCCTCACACACACTCACATGCAAAGAAAGATACATACTTACACACACACACTCACTCTCATGCACACTCACTCGCTCACATACACACTCTTACGCTCAAACACATTTACACACACTCAAACATACACACACTTAAAGACACACTCAGACGAAAACAGACACACACACACCCACACATGATGTACATGATAACGCACACACATGCACAAA